CAAGAGCAGGCAGCCTCCTTGGCAGCTTACATTGCACCCCGGGATGGCAGAGCCTGGCACAGCAACAGCAGGCAGCTCTGTGCCTGCTCACAGTGCAGCACAGGGATGGTGGTGCACAGCATGGCACAGTCAGGGAGTCCAACCTCATCCAGCCACCCTCCTGCCCAGGATAACACAGCACAGCATGGCCAGACTCTGCCCCAGGACTGCCCTTACCTTCCTGGTTGCAGCCTGCTGAGGGATGAGCAGGACCAGGGTGAGCAGCAGGCAGCAGTCGAGGGTCCCCATGGGGTTGTTGGTGGTGGCTCTGCCTGTGCTGCTGCCCCACGCCCACTCAGTCCCTTCCATAGCAGGGGGGGCTGTGGTTGGGCAGCGGCCGCCCCTGCCGGGCCTCCTGCCAGAGGACACCTGGTGGGAGATTGGCCACCGACCATTGCACCAGCTGAGCCGGGTCTGGCTCCCCTGGGCCAGGGGGCTCCTGGGGACCATGGGGGGGTGGCAGGGCTGTAGAAGAGGACCCTGGAGGGTCACAGCAGGGGACACACATTGGGCCTCAGGTATGGTTACAGAAGGGACTGCGTGATGCCATGGGGGAATGGGGGAATGTCCGTGCTGAGCCTTGGAATTGTCGTCCAGAATAATCAGATTTGTTCCTCGGTGTGCAACAAGTCAATAATTACACACTCGACAGGGTCACTGATAATTTATCTCAAAGCTGCACAGGCCTGGGTGTTCAGGAGTATTCCAGAAATCAAGCACATTGGCTATGAGCACTTTTTCCTGTTTACACATTTTAGCAAAAAAAGGCATCAATGTTCTTTGGCTACAAGTTACATAGTTCTTCCATTAATTAGTATGCTATCTGCTATTCATTAGCAATTCTCTGATTTCTCCTGCTCAGTAGTCTGCAGGCTCACTCTTTCTCTTCTTTTGAGTCAGTGGGTTTCCAGACTCAGTGGGCAATAAGTCGGTGGTCACGATCTCCCCCTGCCGGAGTTACTTTCTACCCAGTCGGAGCTGGTTCAGCACAGTTGCTGAGTTATCCATATCAGTTCCTTATCTTGGGGGTTCTGCCAAATGTCCTTGTGGCCCCTAAATGCTGTGTTCTTTTGGTTCGCTAGCAGTGGTACATCCTTCTTCCCAAGATTTGTTGACCTCCCCCTAGGTCTGAGATCATGGAAGCCTGTCCAGCCCTAAACCACAATGAGGCAATTCTACCAAGAAGTAATTTGTGTTTCTAATACCCGGATATCACTTAGAGCTTGTTAGCTGCTGTCTGTTTCATGGATTAAATCTCCCTTTTTGTTGATCAATCTTGAAAACATACAAAGATCAAACATCAAAGAATATATTTTCTTAAGAATGTTTTCTACATATTCCACATTTTTCAACATCAGGACAGGAAACAGTAGAGATTTGCAACAAAGCTTTATTGGGAGAAAAAAGTGGTGAGGTAGGAGTTTGGGCTTCCCCCGCAGTGTTGCTGCCGGCCTGGGAACACCCCTGCTGCCCTTCTCACTCCTTCTGTGACTGCACACGGGTGAAGATGTTGGTGCCGACCCTGCAGGGACACAGAAGAAGATGTAAGGGTGGCACATGACAAGTCCAAATGCCCACCCAGCCCTATATTCTCCCATGGCATTTTCACCTTAGTGGGACTGCAGAGGCTGTTATTTTTACATGCTTTTACCCATGCAGCAAGCAATAGAGTGAACCTTGCCACTGAACTTTGCTAAGTTGCACTTTTACAAACTGATACTGAACCTGCTTTTGCCAACACCTTTGACAGTGACGGTGGAAGCAACACAAAGCACTCATTTGTAACAGCTCCAACACCCCCCCAGAGATGCAGAGGGGACCTGTGCAAGGCAGGGACAGGGAACTCACATGGTGGCTTTCCAGTCATTTTCAATGTTGTCCACGCGTGACCGCAGAAGCCACATGGTCTTCAAAGTCTCATTTCCATCCTTGTCCACGAAACATTGTCCCGTGAAAACAGTGATGGAGTCTGCAGGGACAGGACAGGAGGTGGAGTGATGCATGGTCAGGATGGCAGGTCAGTGCCTGACCCAGCACACGGGACAGTAGAGCCCTACTGTCCCTGGCCCCTGGGACATTGGGGATGTGGAAAGCAGGCAGGAGGGTTCAGAGGGCTGGGGGGTTCATATGGCAATGGGCAGACAGCTGTGGGCTTCAGCCCCTGTTGCATCTCCTGCCCACTGGGACTGGGAGGTGACAGCAGCCAAGGAGCTCCAGGGACAGGGCTGGGGGAGCATCAGGGGCACCAGAGGGGATGAGAGAGCACTGGCATAGTGCAGGGGAAGGCAGAGAATCAGCAAGGACACTGCGGGGAGGGGCAGAAGAGCTTCCAGGGCATCACAGCAGAGAGGGCAGGGCAGGTCTGAAGACACACCAGGGAGGCTGGGAAAGGAGAAGTACCTGAAAAGGTCCAGTTGACAGTGAAGCCAAAGGTGGGCTGGCCCTTCTGGTTTTTGCGTTGCAGAGTTCCTTGCAGTGGTGACACTTTGATCTCATTTGTGGTGGCTGTCACAGCCGTGAGGTAGGAGCCAGAGAAGACACCGTCTCTATTCACAGCCGAGATGGTCATGGTGGAGCCCAGGTCATTGACCCAGTGCCCGATCAGGTTGCACTGGAGCAGAGGGGACTCAGTACTGGTGCCACAGCACAGCCTGCAGCCCTTGCCCACCCTGCCCATCCTGCCCTCTGCATCCCAGACCTGATCTTACCTTTTTTGGAGAGAGGCTGTGAGCCCCCAGGGCCAGGCCGAGCACCAGGAGGAAGACAGTTGCTTGTACCATTTCTGCAGCAGGCAGACAGCTGATGTAGCTGGGGATGTGCTCCTTGCAGGACTCTGCCAGTGCTCCTGCTCCTTCTCCTTTTTATTGCTGCCAGGGCTGAGGGTGGCAGCTCTGGCCAGGGCATTGTGCAATCTGGGTGTTTCCAAAGTCTTGGTTCCTAGCCACATGAGGGAGTAATTACAGCAGACATTCCCAGAAAAGACTGCTGGAAATGCCCCTCCTTGCTTCCCCTGCACGTTGCAGATCAAATCTGACTTCTGCCAGGACTGTGGGTAATGGTGAGATGGGAAAACCCCTCTCTGGAGCTTTTGTCCATTCTGCCACCTATTTGCCATGTCACTGCTGTGCCCAAAAGTGCCAAGGAGCCTTAAAGCCAGTACACCTCAGGACTGGCCCCAGCACACAGCTCACCCTGCTCTTCCTCCCCAGACATGATCATGCAAACCCACCCAGCATCCGGATTCCCTCGGGACTTTGTTTTTGGCCCTCCACACTCAAAGTGCCCCGTCCCCTCTCGCCTGGAGCTGACATGAAGGTTTGCTGCTCTTTTTACAAACTGGCTTGTGTTTTTCTTGGAAGGAAATTATTTAGTTAATGAAAAACCAATATTCCCTGAATATCTTGGATATTGCAGGTTAATGCTGACAAAAGTTGTACTTATGCAGGGATTCTTGAATCTCTGTAAGTACATATTATATAATTCCCCTTACGTTACAGTTGTTGCTGGCCAGGAAGGCTGAAGTGGCTGGGTTCATGCCAGAGTTTCTCACCCATTTCTCAATGCTTTTCAAGGCAGACTCCAAACATATATGTTTTAATTCCCCTAGTCCTCATAGCAAGAGGTGATGGAGCCCTATTCACCAGGAAATAATCCTTTTCTTAAAATGGAGACAGGGCAACTCTTGGCCACATCTCAGAAATACTTTTCAAATTTGTCTTTCTCTTTAATCTCACATTTGAGCCTCAGTTTCTCTCTGACAGTAAAATTCAATGCTATCCAGGCTGGAGAGCCCTGCATTTCTGCTGCTGGCTTCTCCACA